GGTCCTGCCTACCCTATTCTTCTTCAACAGCCACAGTTTACATCGGTTGAAACTTGCCAATGCGCAGTGTGTCAGACACCAAAATGCCTCGAAACCGGATGCGTCCGGCAAATGAGACAAGTCAAATCAACCCGAAAAGAAGAAAGTCAACCCAATGAGGGGGGTTGGGAAGCCCACTTTGGAAGATCATAGGATACGTGATTGATGCGCAACAGACCGTTATTGCTACACTCTGTGTCCGCTCCTATTGGTGCATTGTAAGACGCGAAACCCTCGGCAAGAGCGTTTGAGATGAGGAAAAAGAAACGGTTACACGGGCTAAGCAGACGCACAGATCAAGCATCCAATGGCCTCGACGGAAGAGAAAATTTCTCTCACAATAGACGAAGACAAGACCCTGCTCAATGCCGCGACACGCAGGAAGAAGCAAAACTACTGCCAACGGGGTGAAGACAAGGCAGGAAAAAGCAACTTTGCCGGTAGCGCCTTGGCCACAACGTGCCCAATGAGCACACGTGATGCTTCATCCTACCAGCTCACCCTGTCCAGCGCCCGAGCTTGTTCTGTCTGGCACCCAAGACCTGCGGGCGCGCGTATGACAATCAAAGTGCTTTGATTGTCATCTAGCCTTGTTCTGGCTTTGGTCGATCCAATTGAACTATTGATTTCCGACAGCATTCCCCCCGGGTACCCACGGAGGTACTTGCTGCCAACAAACAATACATTGAGCGGCACACTTGTACTTGTTAAGTGTGCATATCGAGCATACCAGGATCAATTTCTTACATGCAACCATCCCAGGTGTATGTGCATACATTACACATACATACATGTCAGTTATTGCTGTATGCATTCCCTGGATCGAAAAGAAAGCATGCTTCGCCTAGGCTCTATCAACGCATAATTAATGCATCGATCTGAAGGCCGGTATATACTAGCCTTGGCCCCCAAAATCGTGATCCGTGTCGTTCCTAGCCGATACGTCCCTAGATTGCGGAGAGCATAACACTACACTAATTACATATTTACATGGATCTGATATTGGAAAGGTAGAGCGATGAGACAACGCATTTGCACACGAGAATCACAGTGGCGACATGTTCGTCCATGCGTTTCGGTCAGGCGATCGGTCCAGATTCATGTCGCAAATCCACCCTGAGTCTAAAGTCCATTCGTTCTGAGATAAGTCGGTTAATGTTCTAACCAGTTCGGTTTGGTTGGCTGTCGGCATATTTCCACTCCTGTACACAATATGCAATGCGGTGTATACATACGCCTATGCTCACTTACCTACGTCTTTATACATACATGCCCAATCTCGTGTGACAGACCAACGACGAGGATACCACGCTATCGTGAACCACAGCAGTGGAACGCATAGGTGTACTGCCTCCGCCATCAGACGTGCGATAATTTGCGAACCCGGCATATGATTATGCTCTTGGCCGGCAGTGGTAGGAAACATCACCAACCATTGTCGTCTTAAAGATCGCCAGCGACGAAAACGAAGCTTCGTATCCTTACGTTGCTTGCCACCATGAGAGGCCCGCCCCCCTCACCCCCCACGCTATCTCACACTCTGCTTTGCTGTTACCTGGCTCTTGATCATCATGTCTTGCAACTCCGTCTCGAGCCAAGGTTTCGGGCCGCTCTCAACCGGCCACATATGGACGAGACTGCAATGGTGTGACTGATCGGCCTCTTCAGCTGATGTCGATTGCGCATCGGGAGAAGCTGGCGCTGTACAATGACGATAGAGATCAATCATGCTATCTGGGGACGGCCGCTGGAGCCCAAAGGCGTACACTGTTGATACTAGTCGAGAGGGGGACTCCCAGCTGCAGCCATGCTCCAATAATCAGAGGTGGTGAGGGCGCGCTAGGTGGTATGTATAATGCAGGTTCTGCTATGGAAACTAGGGGAATAGATCATCGAGTCTTTCTTCTTCCGCCCACCCCCTTCTCATCATCTGTTTTCTGGGGGCGTGTTCAATAGCAGCGGCCTCCAAAGCTTATCCTGCAGAGGTTATATAAGAAACGCTAAGAACGATTTGGCATGGCTATCTTTGATGGAAAGCCTGACGGAATAAGTGTATTGGCATTTGGTATGCTTACGACCCCTGTGTGGCTCAAAACGAATATGAAAGCATGCCGTTGATGAGTTTGGTTGGCGTGTGGGTTGTGGCCTGTGGCTGCTTTTCGTTGTGCTGTGTTGTACAAGATGATCTATCCGCTGGGCTTGGCCGTTTTCCCTTGAGGGGTGGCCAACACGCAACGGCAGGGCTGCTTACAGCCTCGAGGCCTTATTTGCTCACCATACATGTTGGCTGATGCTGTGTGTGTGCTACGGCCGCCGTTATTGTTCAGCATCCCGGTATTTTGCAGCCCTCCCCCCCTCCATTGCAAGGGTTGGAAGGGCTGACCCGTCTGTCTAGATCCCAACGGGGCGGGACGGTTGGTGTGACCAGTGTGTGAGGGAGGGCAGGACGAAGCAACCCGTCACATTTATTAGCTGAACAGCTAAAAGGGATGGCTGCCTATGGCATCAAGGCATCAAGGGGGGGGGGGCAGCCAGCCAGTCGCTATTTATCCTTTCTTTTTCCTTAATCACACGTGCGACCAAAAGATAATTCAGTCAGGGAGCCGGTTGTTCCCACTCCTTCTTACCCTTTCGCTCTTGGCCCCATCCCGCCCCTCAGCCGCGGGCTCCTCACACCATCTCCCATGTTGCCTTTCTAGCCTTCATCCGGAACCCCGTCCCCTGCCTCCCTGCTTAGGTCCTGATGCAGCCGGTCAAGATAGCATTACGGTGACATATGACTGATCATTTTACAAAATCCCGGGGGATGGATCATCAGCGGTTTGCGGCAAGGGAGACAATAATGCCAGCAAATGTTCACATACTAATCTACTCAACGTAGGCATGTACGTATCCTACATGCGTGCGTACATACAGTATGTACATGGACAACACTACCTACATGACGCCCACCCAGCTATCATGTAGAGATGTACATCGCAGCTGAGCCGCCTTTGATGGCGCCAGATATTGATCCGGAGCCCACATCCCCCCTGACGAATCAAATATGCAAGAACAGAGAAATCAGCCATGCCTGACATAGTAGGGACGATGGTGTCTGCACTCGTGGCTCGCTTCGCACTTCCTGCCCACAAAGCCGTCGCGATCGTTCAAGAGAGCCGGGCTCTGGAGGGCGGGGAGATTCAACAAGCCGGTAACAGAGTGCATACGGGTTATGTCTAGGGTTTCCAGTGTCCAATGGGGTCCCCGTATTTAGTTCCCTGAGTTTCTTAACTGAGAATTCTTGGCTCATTCGTGTGCTCTCTTTGGGCACCGGTCAGCTCGATCTAGACTACGGAGAACCCGCGGGGCCGCAGGACTAGAACACGGCGTCTATCAATCTAGTATAGTATGATGACGAAGGATGGGCAACTGCTGGTTCGGCTATGCAGGCAATGCAGACAGAGGTACGCATGTGGGCGTATCTCGCCGTGCCAAGTGCATAATACAGCGTCTAAGATGCGATATTATGCCCCTCCCCGGCCTGCGCCTGCTAGGAAAGGCGATCCTTGCCGGTTGTGTCTACATACATCTTCTATGCGCCCGAACTCAAAACCCCGGATGTAGGTCATTCGACGCACGTACGTGCATCATCATCGGGCAGACCGGCTGCGTAGTGCTGGACATGCACGCTCAGGTGCAGAGGTGCAGCGGCCCACTGCCAGGTTGAGGAAGCCGAAGGAGAAGGAAAAAGGAAAACACAAGATCATTGGATCCCTCCATCACGAAGTACCGCCACACTCCAGTAACCACACCGACCGGGGACTTCCAAAATGGAGGAAACAAGAAGGAAAACAAGAGAAGTGACAACAGAACAATCAGACAGCAGATCCGGGCTGGTTAGGCTTCTGGGCCCGAGAGTGGCCGGTAGCGGTCCGTTAGGTTGGCACACGAACTGATTCGTCACATCAGGGCGAACAAGTCGGTTTTCCCTCCCGCGGGCCTTTTGGTGTTCTGAGATCAGGCCTCACTCTTCGATAGGGCAGTCTATTCAGTCCTCAAACACTCGCGCTATCGTCATCACACTGAAAAAAAACACTGCCACCTAGCGTTCGTATCCGGCATCGCATGTCTCGGTCCCCCCCTTTCTGGAACAAACATCTGGCAGCTAAGTTAGGGGCCAAACCGAAGCGTCATGTGGAACTTGGGTGCGAGGAGTGGTGGTAACATGAATTGGTTGATGTATGGCCAAACCTCGTTGTGCAAGTTGTTTGCTGGCCATAATACGAGAGAGGCCCGATCGATGCCCGAATGGCAAAATCTGTTTCTTCTCTGACGGATGAATGCACGTTGTTTCCCCGTCAGATATTTGCTGTTCCCTCGCAAACACATCATGGTGGGAGCAAAAGAACTGGAGCGAGGGCGGCGCTGCGGTGAAACGACATGGCGTCAACGGGTTGGGTTGTTTTTTCTCGTGTACCTCCCAACCTGCGAGTCTCACACATGCTGTAGATCCTCCCACATTGCGCGACTCGGAAATATACATGCAGGTGTGTGGGAGCACCCAACGGTTTCTCATCTCCGACGCCGTGGCCAGCAGGGAGAGAAGAACTTTGGGCATGCCGTGTGACGGTGCTTCCACCGCGCCCGGTGCGAAGCGAGGCCGTCAACCCCAGGGGAGACGGGAATTTGGGCTGCCTTGGGTTTTTTTTCTGTCACCTTCTGGAAATGTGGCTGTCACAAGCTGCAGTTTGAAAGGTGGTACAGAGCGGCTGCAGGCAGCCCAAAGCAGCAAGGGAAATTTCGTAGGCTAGGACAAGAATCATCCCGGAGGGGAGGGGTTCAACTACTGTCTCACAGTGAAAAGAAGCTCGATTAAGTGCTGGTATTAACATATGTACGTATGTGGCTGTTACAACGCTTTCCTCGTGTGCCCAAGCATCCCCCCCCTTTAGTTTAGCACAAAGCTCTGGCTTGTACCTTCAAACGAGGAGATGGTGCCCAGCAGATTCTTGGAATCCCCATAGTACTTGAACCTGTACGTGCCTGGCTCGGCGTTGCCGGCCGTCTCCCAGGTGGCATCCACCTCGCTGTACCCGAGGAACCAGTCCGTCCGGCGCCACGTATACACGAGGAACCAGTCGGCGTCGTCGCGGACCCTGGTCCAGGTGCTGCCGACCTGCTTCTCGACGGCCAGGTATGTCTGCTCGAGGCGGAGGTTGTTGCGGGGGTTGGCGCCCTGGAAGGTGGCCTTTACCACGTCACCGACCGCATATGTGGCGGACGGCTGGGTGACGACGGTGCCAAAGGACTTGCCTAGCGGGACGCCGTCTCTCACGACGCCCGTGATAAATGACAGGGAGTTGTCCCTGTTGTCGGGGGGAGTGGGCCTTGGGCTGGCTGCCCGGTCGCATCCGGGGACAGGTAGTTCAGGTTGCTGACGGTGAGGTTGATGTAGGCGCTGAGCGAGTCCCTGCCGTACAGAGTCGAGGCGCCCTCGTACCGCTGGATGTCATACTCCTCCGGCGTGGTGAGGTAGTGGGCATATGTGTTTGCAGGGCTGCTCAGGACCACCACTGGCTCCTCGTCCAGGAAGGTTGACGCTTCGGAGGCGACGGCCTCTCTCCACCGTCGGCCGGCCATGGTGGCGACCTCGCTGGGGCTGGTGATGATCAGGAACTGACCAACGCGAAGCACCTGGATGTCTACGATGTTTGGTGTCCACGCGTAAGGGTCGGACATCTCGCCTACGTCTAGGAGGATGGGCTTTGGTTCATGGCACGCTTTCTGTTTCGCGGTCGGGGTCTTGAGGAGGCCCTTGACCACTTCCCAGAGGGGGTTGGCATCCGGATCACCAGAGTCTCCTTGCTTGAAGTCGAACATTCCTGGCCAGTCAGACGTGCCTGCGGCGAAGGAATACCCGAGAGCAGCTGGGCAGGTCTGGCCCTTGGTCCCATCCGCGCGGGTGAATTCCCAATATTGCATGTCCTGGAAGAAATGGAATGACTTGACAGAAGACCCGACCACGGGCTTCGAACTGGATGATAAGGAGTTCTAGTCATCGATCGTTAGTGAGTTTGGAGGCCATTTATTGGCTTGCACAGTATGAGACTTACATATGCTGTCCTGGCAGCAGTCACCTGTCGGCTTGCGATTTCGTAGCAGCTGGAGATGCCCAGGTCGAGAGCCTCAAACTTGGGTCCTCGTCCATGGCATGCGTCGACAGTGCCGTCTGAACAGGTGCTTGTCTTGACATCGCACTGCTGGCCGGAGCCATCATCACACCAAGCGCCCAACGTGTTGGGCGATGTATCTGCATGGTTTGCCTGGCTGAATCCTGCTACGAATCCATCCGCAACGCCGTCTGAGCCAGCCAGCTCACTCTCGAACAACCAGGCAGCAAGGCCCTTGTTGTCGCCAGCGGCATGTGTATTGTTGCCGAGCATGGATGTGGCGTGGACTGCATGCCATGTGAGAACACCGATGCTCTTGCTATCGGAAGCACGCTTGAAGCGAAGCAAGGTGAGCGTGGTGTCGACACTATCACTGTACTTGGCACGTTCATCTGCAGGATTGGCCTCGTAGGCATAGATGGAGCGGTTGATAGAGCCATCCTTTACTTCTGCTGTGGCAACATCCAGATAACCCTATCGTCCAAAATCAGTCAGCCAGTCTACTCAGGCGAGGGACTTGGATCGCCTACCTCTTGGAGACTCTCTTGAGCCCGCTTGATGGAGAGAACAGCACCGTCGACAATAGCCTGGTAACTCTGCTTGTCAAAGCCAAATGTAGTAATCTGAGGAAGAAGATAATTAAACCAGGCTCCAGGACCAGCATGGCTGTGCGTAGCCGTCACCGCAATGTTGTGATCGCCGTAAAGCGCATAATCACCACCCAGAGCCTTGAGGGCCTCCAAGATGCCATTGCGCATGGCAGTATCGCCAGACTGGATATCCAGAACCAAGTAGACGAAGCGGTCTTCTGGTTTATTGACATCCCCAACAATGAAGGCTCGGCTGTATAGCCGCTGTCGCAGCCCGGCGCCTTTTTGAGCCAGGTCGGCGTAACCAGCGAAGCCTATTTCGACAACAGGGCCAGTAATGTCAGCCTTTCCTACACCGATCAGGTATTTGTCGCCATCTGCACGGCTCTCGAGCTTAGGCCCGCCTCCCGCTGCCCGGGCAAACACAGCCGGGACGAGAGAGAAGGCCAGCAGCGTGGCTAGCAGAAGCCCGATAAAGGACTGCCTCTTAACCAACTCCATGATTTGGGGCAACTGGCAGACACAGCTAAGTGGAAGGGAGTTGGAGAGCAGAAAGAGACGTCTCCAGACAGCCTATGTATTGCGTTGGAGATGTGCGGTCCTCGCACCGCTGGTGATGCATGAATATATACTCGGACTCAGGCCGTGGTTGGCCATCTACCCCAGCCAGTCTTTGCCACTTTGAGATGCGTATAAGTGGAAGGTCGAATACACACGCAACCCAGCTGGCAATTTTGGGCGAGGGGTCCGAGATTATCTCGGCTCACAAGGGCAGGTTGGAAGCAAGATTCGGGTTGGGGGGGCCGCATCGTTTACCATCCAATGCAGCCCACGGGCATCAACTGACCACTCGTGCCGGCCGCCTGGGGTTACCTTGGCCTGCGAGCTGCATCCTGATGACGACGAGCCTAGCGATGGGCGAGCGATGGTTGCAACGTCATGGACCTGCTCAGGGTTGTATCGGCCGCCTTGCTGGCCTATGGGAGAGGGAGAGGGAGTGTGCCGGATTCAGCCCAGATAGCACAGATGGTGCGCTGACTCGGGCGTGGCTGGAGGCGGGCAGCTAAGCCAACCTTGAATGCGGGCTGCCCCTAAACGGTAGGTCCAGAGGTTAATTGCAGGGAGCATTAAGCAGCATTGAGTATTGGCCGGGGCCATCAACTGTCCACTAACTAATAGGCGCATATGTAACTTCAATAGGTAGTAGGCCACCCGCCTGTTGCCGCCCCGCCATCCTGCTAACACGCCACAGGCCATCAATCCAACTCGTTCGGCCTCTATACTATCCATACTTGATGGGCAGATAAAGCGTTGTCAGAACAGCTACTGGGGCCCCAGCACCTACATCAGGTGTTTGGGAAGAGTATACCGTCGCCTCAGTGTGTTGGACGGAGATAGTGACTAGACTTGACTCAAGGCTCTCAATCGTGGCAGCCTCATCCAGCGCACATACAGCGATCATCATTCAAAGTAAGCATACAGAGTTAGAAAGTTCTAAAGATACCTATCTGAGGCTGTGCGGCTACAAGGTAAATCATGCAAGTAGGCAGCCATCTATTCATTCGGGAATTATCTATCGTCGAGCCTGGGAGTAGGCGATCAGCTTCAACTATCAATCCTTATCCATTCCTCTTTCATAGTCTTCGCACCGGGGTTTGGGATCCACACAATGGCTTAGATGGTTTGGTCTGAATGCAAGATGTCATTGATGGTCACAGAGGAATACATTTGGAGTCTCGCTGCCCCTACCGGCGACCTGGCTGGTTGGCAAGACAAGCCATCTGCTCAATCACCCCACCTCATTTCGGTACCCTTTCTTTCGATTAATATTAATCAGTGGGTATCGCAGCACGGAAAATATCTGGTTTAAAGAAAAATAAGCACCGTGATTACCATGTCCTGTCTGGGCTTTCGGGATCTAGATTCTCGCTTGCCGCCTGGGTGTGGCCATGGGTTGCTACTCCATTTCAAATTTCACATCATCCGATCCATCAGACAATTAGGGGTCTGCGAGGCGAAAAAAAAACCCATATGAGAATTTCTAAACTCCCTTGAGTCTACTAATCCACAAAATGGATGAACCCCATGTCCCTGCTGACGATCCGAAGCAGCAGCCTCCTTCCCGGCCATGCGAAGAGAGCGAGCCGTCTCGGGATCACAGTTTCTCGTCCCTCCCTGATCCAAGCCAAGAGGGAACCCATCCGTACCGATAGCAAACATAGCTGTCCGCGACAGCACCTAGAGAAAGCCCAACGACGATGTTGCGGCGAGCTTTGGTGCTAAGATTCCTCCACGCCCAGGTCCGAGCTGGCACATTGGTACTCATGGGCCTTGCGAACGCCGCCCTGGCATGCGGTAGGGAGACGGAAGGGCCATTTCCGGTGACAGCCTTGCCGAGGCGAGGGAAAAGTTGCTTGAAAATGGCCTGCATGTTTGCGTATAATTGGCTTTTGCTGATGGCCAAATGAATAAGAAGGCAGGAGTGGATGATCGTAGTGACAATGCCGAAGCAAAACTCTTGCAGGTATGTATTTCTTGAATGTAATTGATGAATTGTGAACCGCTGTTTTGATTTCTATCTGATCCCTGGGAAAATCGCTTTCATTTATACCTATATATCATTGATTCGTTTTGGCCGTACAAGTATCAATGTTGGTCGTTATGCTTAACCATAACGTCTTATGGCAGCACTAACACCAGCATCCAGCCACATTGACTCTCCATGCGTTATGCCAAAACATACCCTTTCTACCCATTATTAAAATCCCATTATATGCATTTCGTCATTGTTTGTGTCAGCCTACCGGCCCTTTGGCCGATTCATTGTCAGTGGCTTGAATGGTTTTCGCAGGCGATCCAACGACGGAGCCGGCCCCATCCCGACAGGTCGCCTGACACCAAGCCGAGGGCCAGCAGTGGTGAATGAAGTGGAATGAAAAACAGCTGCTGGTCGGCTGGAGGTCGATGCTTCCTTAGAGGACTCAGACTCAGGTTCTTCCGGGGAGGGTTGTCTTGGAGGTGAACTGGAAAAACAAGCGTATTGCTTTCCTGCTCCATCTTGTCCTGGCTTTGCAACTGGTGGCCGCATGGGCCGTTTCCCGCCTCCAAGCTTGTGCTGGGCCAGCGCCGGGTCCAAAGCTGGCTGTTGCCTTCCTGAAATCCCGCTAGGCACCGATGCTTGGGGGCGAGAGCCGTGCTGGAGCTGCCTACTGAGAGAGGAACTACCAATCTTCGCCTCCGGGGGCCCAATACCAGCGGCTCCGGTACCCTTGGACACGAATCCGAGTAAGCTCTTCTGGTTTGGATCACGATGTGTTGATCCTTTTGTGACCTTTTTGTTGCCCGTGGGCTGGTTTTCTTTCGCGGCCAGTGATGTCGAAATGGTTGATTGGTGCTGCCCGGCAGTCATAAATCCAGGCAGTGATGACATTGTGAAATGACTTGAATCCTCCATTGTAGTCGAGTAGGCTTTGAACAGGGGCTGGTCCCCATTCCCCGAGCTGTGCTTTTCGGCGTCCTTCCGTTGTCGCTTTGGCGCTCGTGCGTAATGCTGCTCGCCATTTTCTTCAGTCCCATCTGAGTTCTTTGGGTCGATTGGATTCAAGGGAAAGGTATCATCTTCAGGTGAGAACATGGACGGCAGATTGTCAAATACCCTCTTTTCCGGGGGCGCCTCTCTACCAAGAATCTTGGCCACACTTTCAAGCACCTTCTTATCAATGGAAGGACCACGGGCAGCAAAGGCCTTCGAAGCAAAGGGTGCAACAAAAGTGGAAAGCTCGACCTTATTGCTCAGTCCCTGTGGGCCGTAAAGAGGACAGCTGAGATACAGCATTGCCTGGGCCCTTGTCATGGCGACATACAGAAGACGCCGTTCTTCTTCTATATCCTCCGATCGCGAGTGAGGAATGGACCCTACGTAGACGGATGGTACAAAGACAACAGGCCACTCGAGACCTTTCGCAGCATGTATCGTGGAGATGGTGACCATGGATGATTTATCGCCATCTCCATCATCCCGCTGTGCATCAGACGCCAACGAGACATTGGCCAAAAACTTGCCAAGGATATCGTCCTCTTTTGTTTGAGTTACATTGTCGATCTCCGGAAGCTCCTCGGTATCCATCTGGCTATAATCTCTCATGAAATCCTTGACGAGATTCATGAATTCCTGAACGTTGGCCCATCTTGTTTCGTGTTCCTCTGGATATTCAAGCTCCAGGTACCTCTTGAAACTGAGCTGATTAAGAAGAGAGTCTATTAGGTCGATGAGGGTAACAGCTCCATCTTCTGTGATTGCATCCGCCTTCTTTCGTAGGGTGAATATCGTGTTCAAAAGACCAGAACTAAGCCTTTGCTCCATATTCGCTCTTATGTTCGTGGATGCTCGGCGCTCGCCACGACAATGTTTGCATAAGACCGCCCAAACAGACATCTTTGCCTGTTCAGCCTCTTCAAGCAGGGATTTAACCGTGACATCTCCTACGCCCCTTCGTGGAACATTGATGATGCGTGCAATAACATCATTATTATCCGGTTGATGAACTGCTCGTAAATAGTCGAGCAGGATTTTGATTTCTCTCCGCTCGTAGAACTTTTTGCCACCAATCATTTGATATGCAACGCCAGCCTTGCCAAGCGCAGATTCAATATGTCTTGAAAGGGACGCCGACCGTAACAGGATCGCTACATCTTCGTTCTTTAGCATACCCCCAAACATCATACCAAGGCGTTTGATTTCAGAGACAATCCATTCTCCTTCTGTTGAGGTTGAGCCAAGGCTTCGTAGAACCGGTTGCGTACACTTAGTATGAATTGGCCGAAGCACCTTCTTGTATCGATTTTTATCCTCCTCGATGACTTGCAGCGAAATATCCAATATGTACTGGGAAGATCGGTAGTTCTCTTCCAGAGAGACTTCCTCGGTTTCCGGATATTCACGTAGTAAGCGGTAAAGATTTCGCACTTCAGCTGATCTCCAGCCATAAATGCTTTGATCAGGGTCACCGACAATGGTAATCCGTTCCCTTGCTTGTGCGAAGAGTTTCATCAATTCGTATTGAATACCGTTTGTGTCTTGATACTCATCGATGAGAACAGTCTGAACGTTCGAGACGCACTCTGGATTTTGCCGAAGAAGCTCCACGCATTTGACTAGCAGGTCGTCGAAGTCGACAAGATTCGACCTTTCCAGGTGGTCTTGGTACTCAGCAAAACACTTTGCGAGATCTGGGTGTTCCTGCTGTTTGTTCTTTTGGCTCTTGGGAGCATTGACAGGAGGCGTCCCCTTGGCTTTTTTCTTGCTGATCCATGCCTTTGCGTACGACGGCTCAACTTTTAGGTCCAATCTTTTGCAGATCCGTTGAATGATAGCCTTGGAGTCTCCGTCATCTGCGATATTGAATTTGGACTCCAGCCCAATGTGACGGCCATAGATGGAGAGGTAGCGTCTGGCTATCGAATGAAAAGTACCCAAAATAATCTTCTTTTCTATCTCCTCT